TTTTCCAGATGTCCGGATGGGCAGATGTTGAATCATTCCTGTTACACGTATTCCATTTCAGTTGATTCGATAAGTAGAGCTTCAGTTATCAATCTCTCCCTCCACCCTGTTATATTAGAATAGATTACATTAGATCTTAGAACTGTTATCTTATCCTATACCATCCAATTGTACTGTATTGTATGTTTGTCGTCTGTAATTACATGTAATGTAGTGCTTTATATAGCTGGATTGCTCTTCAGATTTCTTATCATATTACAGTCAACTAATCTAGATTTTGCTAGGATTTAGTGCAGCTCCGCTAGTCTGACTGACTTACTGACTGACCCCGTTCTACTACTTTCACCTATGTATCTGACCTGACAATCATTGCAGGTAGGGTATTTATCAAATAAACTGAATTGTTTTGTTTAACTGACTCCACAGGATCCTTTAACCAGTAATGTTTGCTTGTTTCGAATTGAGTTTGTGGGTTTGAGTGGCACTTTTATTCCTATATTGTTAGGAATTCTACGTAATGTTTCCGAGGTTCGTTCTTTGTATGGAAACACTACTGTTGATGTTATAACATTCCTAATTATTTTTGCCACAGATGTCGTCCTTCTTATTATTATTATCATCACTGCCATTACTATTATTATTATTATTAATCTTACAATTACCTACTTACTTTCTGATTATGACGCTTAAAACGTTATCTTCTAAATAATCCAATAAACAAATCCATGTGGAATTACACTGCTACGGTGCCCGAGTTTTACACGTATGTTAATTGAGTTATAATATTTTGACAGATGTAAACCCATTCAAGTGTTCAAGTTGCATTTGAGCATTTGACGTCAGATCAATAAGAAGATAATGAAGTGAGAAACAATGCAGAAATAATTAAAGAATTCTTAGTCTTCTTTATCCTATGTTTGTAATGTCAATCATCTAGATAGTCTAAATCTGCCGAGTGATAGACAATCAACTAGAAGACCGTATTACAGTATCAGTGAATCATTAACGGGTTCACCACATAACGTGAAGGTCCTGGAGAAATCACGAACCAAATAAAATCATAGATGTGTACTGCTGAAAATTGCTAGACTAGTTCAAAATATTTCCCCAGTTAGCATTCCCTCAATTTAAAAGATTGTTACCTTACCGACTTCAGTTCATGATCTAACATACTTGGAATAAAATATTTATTTAATGTTGTTCACACTTAGTTATTTTGCTAGCATACTAAAGTGCAACAAGCAAAACATTTGATATATATGTATATTATACAAAATTATTGAGCAAAGAATATTCTTTTCGATAAATTCCTCTTCCGGCTCTACAACTATATATATATATATATATATATACAGAATATTCTGGATTAATAGTTAGTAACAATATTAGTGTTTTTTTTAAAAATAATATCGATTTGTAAAGTATGATCAATGCAATTACAGTTCATTAAAGATGCTTAAATTATAATAGTAATAAAGATATAATAGCGAATAGAATATCAACTAAAATTAGGGAAATTCCACAAAAATTCAGGATTATTCAAACCTGGATGGCCAAGGTAATGATAATGTCTGAACTAAATTCTTTTGGATGCATAAATTAGGCTTGTTAATATGGATCCCCACAGCCAACCTCAGCAATATTTATTAGTCGAACTCTTAAGGCAAAATTGAGATTCTTAGGTATGCGGTAAATGACCCTGAAGCATGGTTAACATCAATCTTGATATGGAATAACACTACGAATAGATTTTGGTTTGTATTTTACTTAACCGCACATGATGATGTTCGAACGTTCGACGAGAAACACGCCTAATTGTGCGGCCTATGTAACTGGCTCCACAGGAGCAGAAAAGAGGATGGCACAATAAGAAGTGTCTACAGAAAACCTACATCAACGGGCCAGTACACACATTTTATTAGTTTTGTACCCTTGAAATACAAACGCAATTCGATAAAGTGCCTGTTTCACAGAGCAGGAACGATTTGCTCGGACGAATGTCTTGATGAAGAACTGAATAATATTAAGCGGTTGCTAAGTGAGAATGGTTATCCTGAAAAGTTTATTGATAAGAATATGAATTTGAAACCAAAGCAGCCGAAGTTACCAACAGTTGAAAAAAATGCCTTATTCTTACAGATGCAGTTCCTTGGGGACAGCACTAGCGAGATACTAACACAGCGCCTTAGAAATGAGGTAAAAAGAGCATTCCTTGTTGTTGAATTACGCTGTATCTTTAAAACCACTCCTCTTCTGCGTTCGGGAATAAAAGACATACTCCCTAATGTCGCCTTTTCCATGTGTATCTACCAATTTAACTGCTCCTGTGGAGCCAGTTACATAGGCCGCACAATTAGGCGTGTTTCTCGTCGAACGTTCGAACATCATCATGTGCGGTTAAGTAAAATACAAACCAAAATCTATTCGTAGTGTTATTCCATATCAAGATTGATGTTAACCATGCTTCAGGGTCATTTACCGCATACCTAAGAATCTCAATTTTGCCTTAAGAGTTCGACTAATAAATATTGCTGAGGTTGGCTGTGGGGATCCATATTAACAAGCCTAATTTATGCATCCAAAAGAATTTAGTTCAGACATTATCATTACCTTGGCCATCCAGGTTTGAATAATCCTGAATTTTTGTGGAATTTCCCTAATTTTAGTTGATATTCTATTCGCTATTATATCTTTATTACTATTATAATTTAAGCATCTTTAATGAACTGTAATTGCATTGATCATACTTTACAAATATATATAATTGTAGAGCCGGAAGAGGAATTTATCGAAAAGAATATTCTTTGCTCAATTATTTTGTGTTTTATAGATGTCTGAATGAATATTTTGCTATATATATCAAAAAATATTGTCAATTTTAGTTACCATTTGAAGAAAATACTCTTGGTACTAGCAAAAGCATAGAAGAGAAAGAAATCAACCCACTTGTTTTTTCTCCCTCTTTACATCTATTCTATAAAATATAGGGCTTATTTTATAGAGAAGGTACCTTACTTGGCCATGAATGGAAGCGAACAAACTGTACTGTATTAAACAAAGAGAAAGAATTTGATAAATGACCGACTCAGTGGGTTATGAAATATAAACATTAGTTGGAAAGATAATTGTAAGTTACATTCAAACAATAATGACATTTACTTTGAGAGAGAGAATCTAACTTTCTAGAAATTTCATTCTGTTAAATCGGTAACTTATTTGGAATTTCTTCTATAACACTAAAGATGAATGTTATTAGAGTGGACTTCATAAAAACGAGTTAAGGTTTTCGGCTTATCCACGTCTGTACAACACACATTAAGTTATCAATGAACAATGAAAATCTATTACCCGTTAGAAGAAGCAGCCAAGACAGGATTCTATGTGAACACAGGAAAGACAAAGATGATGAATATAACCGATTAGCAATAACGACAAGTGTTAATCACCATCATCAGCGTGAGAAATCTAAAGAAAGACATCTTCTTCACTTACCAGGAGAGCATCCTTTTAACATACAGGAGGCATGACTAATTATGTAATAGCAAGCAACGATTGGATAAGCTAGACAGGGCTTCAGCACTTTGAAATCAATGTAGACATATAGAGCACTTTGCACAGGGGAACAAGATACAAATTTTAAACACTAACTTTATTTCGGTACTTCTTTGGAGTTCAGAGATTTGACACACGCATTCCCAACAGACTGTCAGACTTCCATAGACAACTTCCTTTAGCCGATGATAGCTAACCGGGAGGAATAGCACAACCAACAAGGAATTTCGGCAGACATAGAAATAGCCAACAACCTGTTGCTCAACTAATTTAGAGAAGGAAATGTGGATAGACTGAGGGCATACTGAGAAGGCATTTAAGTGACGTCACGTGCCGGCCCGGCCCAAAAATGAAAACCTATTGGGAAACGACGAGTTGAACGTGGATCTGTGGGCGAAATAGAATAGATCTTGTGAGGGGGAGGAGGTGAAAGGCTACGGATTATCGTGAAGCCAAGTGAAAATGACTACACAGGAGAGTGAAACAGATATGGGCTATCGAAGCCATATGTTCCATTAGAAACCTATGGGAACAATAGTAAAAGTTCCAACTCTGAATGTTTATCTTATTCGTAGTTTTCCGTTTTGTATTCTATTTTTCCTTGAATACACTACATAGATCATTATTGTGTGTTTGTGTGTGTGTGTGTGTGTGTGTAGGCAAAGGTTTTGTGAATTAACATGAATTGCAGCTTTTCTTTTATTATTATTATTATTAATGTATTTCGTTTTAATATCGTTTTTGTTTACTGCTGGATTTTTTCACTAAACTAACTAAAAGAGCCGGAAATTGTACTTACATACTACTGATGATGATCCAAATTCAGGAAAAATCAAGATTCAGTTATAGTGGTAGTAAGAGGAGGAGGAAGGGAGGAACGAGGAAGTGAATGCAAGAATGTTAAGAAAAATAATTATTTTAAGAAATAGTATGGGAATTCTGTGGAATATTATTAACTTTTCCTGTATTTATAACACTATGCTAACACTAATAATAAATAATAAGGTTCAAACTCTTTTAAACATAGAAGCAAACAAATACAAGGGAGAGGAGGAGAAGGTTAGCAAATATGCTTGTACCTGCATGTAAACATACATATGCTCATACGCACATATACAGAAATCTGCTTATCATACAAGCAAGCAATTACTTTCAAACACTCATGTCAGTAAGTAGAGCTCATTTTTCACTTTCTTCATGCTACTGAACTATGAATTTCATTTATGTATTTCTTTTCAAGAGTTTATTTGTAGCGACTTGATTTGTTTCAAGTTTTATCATGAAGTGATGTCTATTGGAGAACCACTGAAAGTCAGGGAGTATTAGGCTGTCTTTCGTGCTTGTATGTGACTCTTCAGAAGTAGCCACCCATGATTTTACCACCAGGAATCGAACCCAAGACCTTCAAGTTCCGCTATCAAGCTTGTTGACCATTCAGCTTCTGGGGATGGAATCTAGTGGCCCATTCATTTCTAACTTTTGTCACCTTTTTAGGTGACCACCAAAGAATGTCATTGGTAAGTATTTGTCCTCACACCTTGACATGGTTCACCCTACTGGCCAATGCTTCTCAGTAGAACTCTAAGCAACTTCATCCTGCAGGCAGTCATTAGTGAGCATCATGTTACTCCTAAAAAAGTGAACATCACTGCTAAGAATGTCATCCACATTAAATATGAATTAGTAGGCATTGGTGGTGACTGAATTCAGTCTGTGTCTAAATATAATTAAACTACTGAGATTATGCCCTTATAATCAGTCAGTCGATCGGTAACCAACAATCACTGACATCGGTATAATATCCCTGATTTCCTTTGATACTACTGCTGTTGGTGTCTCAGACCGATCAATACAGTACCATTATTTTTTTAATCTTAACATTTTGAACAACCATCCAAATGGTAAAATCTGCTATCTGAGAGCTGAGCTTTATACAACTGCGCAAAAGACTTATCAACTCATGTTTAGGTTAGAATTCATTAGAATCCATTAACCTGAACATTAACAATCCATCACTGGCATTTAGACTTTTGAATTTAATTTAGACATTAACCAGCCTATCACAAAACACATTTTCTGAGGAATTTACGATCATTTAATAACAAAAAGTCTTTCTACTTAACTTACACAAAAAATAGAATACCATTTGGTTCATAAGTTGAAAATTCAATTTTAAATGATCGATATAATTCAAAATTCCATGTGTCAAATCGTATAATTGAATCTTCTGTGCCCATAAAAGTGATTGGTACTGGAGTACGTGAAAATTCTGATTCAAGGGATGAATAGCCACCACCATGACCAGTTCTTTTATTCGATGATGTTGGTCCAATGACAAGTTGTGAGGTTGGTAGACGAAATCGTACATCTGTGATACCAGTTCGTTGAATTGAATCTTTCCAATTTGGATCCATTAAAGCATTTAGTAAATTCACATCTTTATCTCCTTTTCTCGTGATCTCAGCCTAATTAAAAATAAAGTTCAAAAAAGGATCCAAGTTCCATAGATATTCGCGATTCGGAGAGCCTTAGGTTGAACTTTAAGAACTCATGGAGTACTTTTAAGGCAATAAGACATCAAGGAGAATTATAATAATTAAGAGTATGTATTGATAAAGTAGCCATGAGATCCCCATTAAATCCTATATTTGCGGACATGTTTCCACCAAAACTATAAAAAGTCTGTTGAAAGATGAAACGGAGTAAATGGAACTGTACCACCATTACATGGATGATACTTTTGTAGTGTACCATGAAGGTTTACCTAATGCTTTGATATTGAGACACATCAGCGATGCTCTTGAGACTAACAAAAGCAGAGGGAAATAAATCTACCCTTGTTGTTTTTTCTCCCATGCTACATACATGGAATTCATCCATTTCAACTCCTTGTACTTTCCTCTTGTCTAACTAACGAGAAGAGACATTACCACTGACCTATTGGGGCTCTGACTGCAGCACTGGGTAACACGGGTTCGAATCTCAGAAGGGACATAAGTTCCTTCAAGGTTGCAGATACACCTTGCTTACTAACGAGTGCCAACTAGCACGAAACATAGGTCCAAGGTCTCCTGTCGATTGCCTCCAACCATCTAATATCAACAATTCAAAGTGCACCCTGATGGCGAGGCACCTAGAATGCAGGCCACATTGCAAACTTGACTGAGAGAATTGAGTCTTAACCGAAGATAGGACTAGACACACACTACACTAGCCACTGACTAGTGTACAATCGAAACCTTAAACTCCATAACTACTGTTTTTTTGGGGGGGGGGGAGGCGGATTTCAGTTACCCTGACTGGAGTCGCTAATAAGCGAAAACCCGTCTCACTATTACTGTCATTTTAGCCTATGCTGCTCAATTTAGTACTGTTTAAGTGGGCCACTGGCCCCTGTAAGATGTACACGAATTTTGAGCTAGTACAGGCATTTGTAGCCCATCACAATGTTTTAGTTAACAGATTCTGTGGAAGGAAAATGCGTGAACCAAAATTGTTTTGAGTGCATATTTCATCATGAACTAACATCATTTAGAGAATGACTGAAAACGTCAGAACTCTAGACAGCTATTTCAGTCCACTTCCTGACTTTTCAGAAGTGCACGTCCATGAAGCCACTAGTAACTGAACACTGAACCTTCAGGTTTCGCTGATTATTCAGTCAATGGGTGGCTCTATCCAGTTACCCGTAAATTCTGAATCTCGTCTACTCAAGATATGGCACCAAATTCAATGAATGACATCGATGAGAAAGCGCTTCATCCCTGACATGGTAGAGCTCACTGATAATGACTTTTCACTACAGCCTCGGAATATTCATTCTGAAGCCGCTTAAGGACATAAGTTGGTGGTTGCAACTTATGGCCAATAGACAGAAATTAGAATTCATACTTAGATGGATTTCATTGCTAGTGGCTGAATAATCAACAAGTTCTTCTGTTAACTAGAAGGTAGTTGATTTGGTCTCTGATGGGTTAGTGAACGCACATTACTAAAAAACAACTGTCCAGTTCTGTTTGACTTTCAGTGACTCCCAACCGGATGTCGATTCATGATAAAACCATGATAAAACTCATCAAAATACCTATAAATCCGAAATCTGAGTGGCTTTTAAGTTAGAAAATCCGCATTATGACCAACTGCTTCATTTGTGACAAACTTAACCTCGATCACACTGTATGGATACTAGAACCCTACACACGGGAAACTCATTTTTATTTGATTGACATATTTTCTAAAACATTTGGGGAGTGAATTTATTGCATATCCCCGTTAATTGTAGCTTCATAACCTGTTGTTATGATGCTTTAATGACATGTTATACATTTTTTTAATATCCTATTTAAATAAAATTTTGCAGTGAAATTTTTTTCTGACTTACTCAATACTGGCGGCGTAATGTACTTGAACTGCTTTAAATTTGCGGTACTTCTTTCAGAAAATGTCTCTTGATGCTGATATCTGCGCTTTGTAATCGATTAATGGAGGTAGTATGTCCAAAAGTGAAAAGCATATATCTTTGAACTCTCATGAATACATGCTAGTATGTTTGGCTTATTTATTGAAAGCACTGATACCCACGGGATACAGCAGGTGCCGCTACTTCAACAAAGGGATATACCTTATAATCGCTCCCATTTGGGTTTCTCATGTGTGCTTAATTTCTCCGCTACCCTCGACACATTATTCTTCATATTTGTGATTGTGTTATTTTTAATGGCTATCTCTATGGTGTGGTCTGATCACATTTATTCGTTATGCCAATTGGAAAATTTTCAAGTGTTGGTTTATAGGGATTTCATTGGTTTCAGGATTTCATCATGAGCTGACATTAGTTAGAGAACCATTGGAAAACCTGGGAGTACTGGACAGCTGTTTCGTCCTAGTTTGGGACTCTTTAGCACTACGCACCCACCGTGATTCGAACCCAGGACCTTCTGCTTACAAGGTGAGCTTGTATACCATTAAGCTACTGGGACCCGCTCCAATGACCCACGAATTCTAACTCCTGCCAATGCACGACATAGCGCAACCCCAGCCAATGTCTTCGGCAAGTATTTGTCCTCATAACCGACCTGCTGCACCCTGCTGGTCACGACTTCCTACTAGAACCCCAGATAACAACCTACCTGAATTGGGCCAGTCGCTGGTGAGCATCTCATTGATATTCAAGTGTTGGTTTGTAGGGATTTGATTGGTTACAGAAGCACAAACTCCTCTGTGATTTATACAAGTGTAGACCAGTGTTGTAGTCAGAGAGGTCACCATTCAGCTATTTCAGTCAATGATTATATATATATAAACGAAGTAAATAAAATTATAAATTACAACGAAACTTTGAGGAAATCAGCTGACCTTTGTAATTTGTCCTTCAAATGTCCTGTCCACTTTTCCCTCTGTATCTTGAACTGGATTTCTTGATCCACCCAAATAAACTTTTCCATCTGTAGACACAAGTGGTGCACGACCAGCAATAGATTTGCTTGCATGACTACGATGATCAAGTGTAATCGTCAACTAAAAAAATGAAATTAATAGACACGTGCAAAAAGTTCATACATCATCGAAAACCCCTAGATACCAGAAAGAAGAACAACAATAATTCTTATTGCCGTCTACCCCTTCTTTCAGAGGACTTATCACCAAAGTAATTCTCTCTCTCTAATATTCTTCAATAATTCCATGTTCTTTCTAGACTGAGAAATACATAATGAAGCACAAAAATTTCTGAAAAATTAGTTAAGCGAAGTTAATTTGTAACGACAGAAAGCAAGAATCAGGCAACAGATTGTTTATTAAGGAAATCAACACATATTTATAGATTTCCATGTACATATTATAGATTATTGTTAGCAGAAAATAGTCCTCTGATTGGTTGTTTCTCACAGAAAGTTAACATTGCATCTCTTTGTGGCTGTTTCTTGAATGTCGTATCATCTATATGTTAACTGTATCCGCCTACGTAAAGCCTTTGTTCTCATTTTTCTCACGAACAATAATGGGGACACAAACATTGACATAAATTACTGTCCACCAATTCTGACTAACAGCGAGCTCTCACCACAAATTGATCTTAAAAGCACATGTTGTTGACGGAAACAATCAACTGATTTGTCAAAGCATTTAGGCTGAACAAAGTCGCGCAGTAAAAGGTCTATACATTCGAAGAGTATGAGACGGCTGTTTTGTTCTAGTTCAAGACTGTTCAGCAACAACAGAATACCCAGAACCCATTAATGGTGAGAGCAGGTGACTTAGCTCCTCTACTGCAAAACATATTTTTAGAGACAGGACATAAATTTGATGTTTCCACATGTCTTTTAAACCTATCTATAAAACGTGTTTGGGGATCATCCTAAAGTTCGTAGATGCCCTGGTCGGCAATTAGGAAGTTTAAACCACCTTTATGCGTTCAAAAATAATTCGTCATCACACTAAGCCTTCCTTGAAAAACTTTGTTTTGATATTAGCCAGGGTTGATATACTATTACCTCTGTTATTTGGTCTAGTGGTCTTCATTGTCATTTTAACCTTCAATATGTCCTTTTAACTTGACCTAAGTAGTCTATTTTCTCACCACTTAACTCTTTATCAATTTCATATATATTCCTATGACAAATTCGTTCGTGTTCAGATTGATCAAAATGTGTTGCACGAATAAAACATTACACGTACCAGACAAATTAAGTCTTCTTACTGCTTTGTCATAACGTATATTAGGAAATTTATTTGAAAAAAAAACTGCAGCGATGTTAGGCAGAATTCCTACCTTTATTTATTGCTATTTCTTTGATAGTGTGGTAAGACACTGAATCTACAAAATCTTTTGTACTTTCAAGTGTTATTTTGTAGGGGTTTGATTGGTTTCAAGTTTGATCACGGCTTAATATCAATTAGAGAAGCAATAAAGACCAGCAGGGAGTATTGCACAGCTGTTTCGTTCTGGTTTGAGACTGTCCAGCAATAAACACCCAACTTGGTGAACCCCGCTGATTATGAGGATAAATACTTACGGATGACATTTACTGACATTCGCGCTAAAAATTGCGGTTTGAGAGCAGTTACAATGAATGGGCCACTGGACCCCATCCCAGTGGCTGATTGCCCAACGAGCTTGACCCCATTACCTGAAGGTTGTGGGTTCATTCCCGGTGGTAGAGTTATTAGTGCATACTGATGAAAACTCCCAAACGAGAAAGAAACGGTTGACCATTACTCCCTGGTCCCCAATGGTCTGCTAACTGATATCAATCCATGACCAAACTTGAAACCTTCTGTACTGTTAAGACACGTCATAAAAATAACCCAGTGGGTAACTACTATACCTCTTAACTGACTTATTTGAAAAAAGTTTGATTTATTGGAATTCAGTCATTTCTTTCAGAAACATTCCAGAAAAAGGACTGATATTGAAAATTACATAGATTGAAGAGAGTTGAAGAACTGCACGATACCTACTGCGTGTTGATAAGACACATTGGAAACCACTATTCATATCAATAATCAGTGTTTGCTGGAATTATTTATATATATATATTATTATTGTATCCTTTAGTTCCTAGAGGAACATAGGGCTTCAGCTGCGCACCTCCATTGACTTCGGTTTTCTGACAACTTTTTCACCCTGCTCCAGGTCTGCCCACATGCTTTCATCTCCTCCTCGCATGACCTCCTCCAAGTCACCCTTGGACGACCAACTCGCCGCCTCCCTTTCGGGTTCCACTCGAGGGCTTGTCTAGTGATGTCACTTGATGGTTTCCTCAGCGTATGGCCAATCCATCTCCATTTCTTTCTGCCTATTTGTTTCACAATCGGTTCCTGATTGGTTCGCTCCCAGAGATCCCTGTTGCTGATCTTTTCTGGCCATCTGATCTTGAGTATTGAGCGGAGACAGTTGTTAATGAAGGTTTGAAGTTTGTTTGAGATGCTCTTTATGACTCGCCAAGTCTCTGATCCGTATAGTAGCACTGACTTCACATTGGAGTTGAAAATCCGGATCTTATTTTTGATGCTGAGCGCTGTTGACCTCCACACAGATTTGAGAGTAATGAAAGCTTGTCTTGCTTTTCCGATTCTGGCTTTGATGTCCTCGTCAGTTCCGCCTGTAGTTGAGACGATGCTTCCCAGGTAGGTGAAGGAGGTTGTTTCTTTCAGGTTCTTCCCATTTATGCTTATTGTGGTCTGTTGGTGTTGTTGATGTTGGCTAGGAATCTTCATCATCTCTGTTTTATCTATGTTCACGTGAAGTCCTATCTTTGATGCTTCTTCTGCCAACTTGTTACTTTTCACTTGCATATCTTCCAGTTTATGGGAAATCAGACATATATCATCGGCGAAATCCAGATCCTCCAAGTCTTTTGTGTCAGTCCATTTTATGCCTGTTCCCTCGTTGGTTGCCGTTGTCTGTCGCATTATCCAATCAATTGCAATCAGGAAGATCATTGGTGATAGTAGACAGCCTTGCCTCACTCCCGTCCTCACTTCGAAGGCTTCCGTAAGTTTCCCGTTGTGGATTACTTGGCATGCAGCATTGTCGTATAACTGTTGGATGAGGTGTATAATTGTCGATGGGACCCCGTAGTAGCGAAGTAGTTTCCAAATGACCTCTCGATCGACGCTGTCGAAGGCCTTTTCAAAGTCGATGAAGTTGAGATAGAGAGGTGACTGCCATTCCAAGCTTTGTTCAATGATGATCCGTAGAGTGGCGATTTGATCAATACATGATTTGTTTCTCCTGAATCCAGCCTGTTCCGGACGAAGTTTTTCATCTAGGGCTTGTTTGATTCTCTCCAGGATGATGCGACTTAGTATCTTGCTTGGAATGGACAGAAGCATAATTCCACGCCAGTTTTTACATTGACTTAAGTCTCCTTTCTTTGGAAGTTTGAATAAGTAACTGTTCTTCCAATCCTCGGGTACTTTGCCCTCTTTCCACACCTTCTCCAGTAGTGGTGTCATCAAGTCCGCTGTTGTCTCTGGGTCTATTTTCAAAGCCTCTGCTGGGATTCCATCTGGTCCCGGTGTTTTCCCAGTTTTAAGCATCTTGATTGCATTCAGGACTTCTGATTTCGTCGGGGGGTCAGTGTTCACTGGTAGTTCTGCTTCCGTTGTTGGTATTGCTGGACGTGTTGTAGGTGGCGGACGATTTAGAAGTCTTTTGAAGTGTTCAACCCAGTGCTTTCTCTGTTCCACCTCTTTGGTGATTGACTTTCCATTGTCGTCCTTTATTGGCTTAATCTGTGTCGAACGTTTGCCCGAAAGGTTCCTAGTTGTTTGGTAGAGTGTGGCGAGGTCTCCTTTGCCTGCAGCTTGTTCTGCTTCGTTTGCCATGGTTTCATAATATTTTCTTTTGTCTTCCCTGGCACTTTTCTTCACTCTTTTGTTCAGTGTATTGTAGCTTGCATTCAGCTCCTGTTTTTGTTGCTCGTCAGTGCACTGGATAATCTTTTGCTTCACTGTCCTTCTCTCTTCTATTAGTTTCCAAGTGTCCGTAGTGAGCCACTGTTTGTCCTGTCTCTTTTTTCTGCCTAGAATTTCTATGCAGGTTTGGCTCCACACCGTTTTCAAGTTGTTCCAGTGCTTTTCAACGCCGACCTTTTCGCTAGTGTTGATTTGTGTCTCGGCTTTGTCCTTTATGCTTGCAATGAAGATGTCCTTTGTAGCCTGGTCCTTCAGCTTTTGAGTGTTGAACTTGGCTTGTGGTCTATCTGCAGCTCCTGATTCCCTGAAAGCTTTTAATTTGATTTGGATTGTCCCTTGTACGAGATAGTGGTCTGAGCCAACGTCTGCTCCTCTTCTTGCTTTTGTGTCCAGTAGGCTGCGCCTCCACTTCCTTGAGATTGAGATGAAGTCGATTTGGTTTTTGGTTTGCCCGTCTGGTGACACCCATGTAGCCTTGTGGATATCTTTGTGCTTGTATACACTGCCACCAATCACCAGTTCGTTGAAGGCGCAGAAGTCGGCGAAGAGTTCTCCGTTTTCATTCATTTCTCCTAGAGCTTCTCTACCCATGATGAGTTCCCTTCCCGTATTGTCTGGTCCCAGTTTGGCGTTCATGTCTCCCATTAGTATTTTCATGTCGCCAGCTGGAGTATTGTCCATTGTTGCCTGTAGTTGCCTGTAGAATTCTTCTTTCTTCTCGAGGTCTGCGTTGTTTGTGGGTGCATAACATTGTATGATTGACACTTTCCTTCCTTTGGAGTTGAACCTGGCGGTCATTATCCTGGACGAAATCGCCTCCCATTGTATCAGGGCTTTCGTTGCCGTTGGTGACATCATGATAGCCACGCCCTCGGTGTGCGTGTGGTTATCTTCTGGGTGACCGGAGTAGATCACTGACTCACCTGTTGACAATTTGGTGAGTCCACTCCCATTCCATCTGCTCTCACATATTCCCAGCACTTGTATTCCGTATCTTTTCATCTCGTTGGCGATCTGGGCAGCTTTCCCAGTCTCGTACATAGTTCGGACGTTCCATGTTCCTACACAGACTTTTTCTTTTGGTGCAAGGAGGTTCATCATACTGAAGTTTCTTTAGCAATTTTTGTTTACAGGGTGGGGTTGCTAGCCTCACGCCTGAGAAAAGAATGATTACATTAAGTAAAAGTTTAGAGAGAAGCAACTTTTTGGGTTGCTCCCCTCAAAATCAGAAAATAACGGACAAACAATGAGAACAACAATATATATATATATATATATATATATATATATAGTATGCGATTCGAAGACAGTTCTGACCACAATCACAGAGACGGTCGCCCTCCTAAAGCTTAAGAATATTCATTCTGTGATACATTAATCTAGTCCATGCGCTGGAACAGACAGGGAAATGTCATAGCTATTCAATGACTAGGTTAGAGGACACTAGTTTCTGTTTTTCAAACGTATCTTGGCACCTGACATAGTTCGGCTTCTCATCAGAATTTAGGGAGATTCAAAAAGAAATGTAGTCACTTGTATGTCATGACCGCTAACAGTTAGCCAATATGTATGTCAGCATATCACTAATTTTGTTGTTTTGCCATAAGAATAATAAAATCTTCATTCTGGGCAGTATTTATAAAATTTAGAGAATTTTCAGAGGAGTTTATTGCATGATATTTTTCCCTTGTAGAATATCCTCAAGTGAAATATTAATTAACAGTATTTCCTGTGACCCAATGCTCTCGAGCTGAAGCACAAACCATTCCATTATGATATATCTGCTTTGTCACCTTCAAGAAATCCACAATATCTAGTTGAAAAGAGCTTGTAAAATGTTCAAAAGTACATTTTGAGACCAGAAGACATAACTGAAGAACAGTTTTCTCATGTATTGGAACGTGTCGCCATACACAATCGGGCTTTTATTCAAGTTTAGTAGGAACCTGAGAATCAGAAGTTCGTAAACATTTTAAACACACACAAGAGTAGATAATACTATTAGAGATGATATCTTAATCGATTAAAACAAACCGAACGAGAGAAAATATATGCAATAAATAGATAGAAATTTTTGGTGGCCCAAGTTTTAAGCAGGTCGTTGCATCGCGTACCCACTTTAGCTTAGAAAGAAATAGGGACCAAGGGATTCTGATTAACCGATATGCTTAATGGTATCATAATCATTGAACCATAACATTCTGATTCCTGTGTGTTAAGATGTCTCAGAGCGGAACGAAAGAATCCTCTAGTGCCACTTGTTTTTCAGGGGTTTTATGAAAACAAATGGATGTACATCAAACCTTTCATATGACACCACAACAGTAACAAAAATAATAATAACAATAACGTTCTACTTACATTATCTCGATCTCTTATCAGCTGAAGGACTTGAGGCTTTTCTGGAATCAGAGTTGAATTTAAAAATATCTCCTCTGTGACTGTACGTTGAGCTTTCCCAGTTTTGTCAGTAATTGCATAAATATAGTATAACAATGAATTCTAAAATTCAATGTGATTGAGAAAATTATAAACAAAACAAAGTGGAATGATGATATTATTCATAAAAAATCCTCAGATAATATCTGAAGAATCGCTATTTTCAACTGAACTTAACAAAAATAATCATAAAGATGCAATTCCTCCACTGGATCCAGACTTAATTCTGTACAAAATCACAAGTCTTAAACGTAAGTAAGAAAGTTGCAGCCAACTAGCGTTCCCAGACATACTCCTGAGTCGAAAAAAGGCTAGCTCAATAAACAGTCGATTCAAAGTAAGCCTGCTTGAACAGGACAGTATTTAAATCTTCACAGTTTCCATCCATTACAGTATACAATAACAGAGACTTGGTTAACTGCCTATTCAAGAGAATTCACAAGTTATTTCTACAGCTGATGCCATGGATGATGATGATGATAAAATATTGACGGATAAAATTTTCAAAAACGGATATCCTTTGCAGTTTTTCAATCAGTGTACTGGTCCATTAGTTTCAAAGCCTACCGTTTACTCCATTGTCCGTCCCAAAGAAAGATGTCTATATGATCAAATTACTTTACAATAGGATATCAAGAAAGACAGAATAAATTCAATCATTTTCAAACCATACTATGCAGCAACTAACCAGCCTTATGGTTATCGAAAAAGCTAAAAACATGCTTTACTACACAAGCCTGAACATTGTAGAAGTGATTATGTCACATCTCAAAGTGTACACCAACTTAATTGTGTATGTATGGGCACACACATAGAGAGGAGTAGTCGCGCTCTGTATTTAGGGGATGGGAAAACAAATAAATTGTGAAACGCAGGTGACAGACTGCCAACTTCGTCTACAGCAAAAGCGCTTAACTGATATGAATTACAACTACTTGTGTTACCGGTGAGGATTGTATCACTGAACCACACTGACACAACAGAACTGAGTGTACTAAGCTTAAATAAATGAAGACTTACTTTAATGTACACATAACTTTTTGATTGTTCACCTTCACTGAACCAAAGTAGACCTGAAGTTACACCGTATGGTATAGTGAAATTAACTGTCAACACTTCTTCTTCAACTGTTCTTTGTAAACGATTACGAAAATCATAACGAACAAAACTGCCTTCTGGAAAGTTAACTGATGAAATATACTTAATTGGATTAGTAGGTATATCATCGAATAGATTATTCAATCGTCGAGGTGTCCGACGTTTCACAGTGTCTGGTGATTCAAGATGAAAATCTTTCAGTGAATAAGTAACACCTGGTTCAATTGTCAGTTGTAGCTGTGATGCTTGTCCAAACATAAATCCAATAAATTTTTGTAAAGCTCTGCTTTTAAATGTATCAGCAGTGGTGGTGGTGATAACCGACGGTATATTCGCTTCTGACTTATGCTGAATACCATGTCTGTTATTATTAATCAAATTTGTATATATTTCATGATTTTTTAAATTGACTGTAATCTCAATCACATTCCATTGGTCAGTTATCAAGGCTATAGAATTATCATGTACTTGAATATATTTTGTTCCCTCATTAGATAAAGGACCCCAGTTAACTGATAATATTGATCCGGGTAAGATAAAAACTTGAAGTGCCCATGGTGTCGCGTCCTTATTAGTGAAATATGAGCTTAGCAGACTGACAATATGCGTTTTAGTTTTGTGTATTTCATCGTTATCTTCATGTTGAACAGTAAATCGAATTGTAAACTGTCCTGTGTACCGAATAGCAGAACAAAATAATAATGGTGATTATGAGTGAATATATATATATAAGTTATGGAAAAACAAACTTACCACACTTTCGCTATTCAATATACTTGAATAGGTAGAACAGAGGTGCTTAATTACGATTTGAATTTCTTAAGATAGTTTGTCTTATGTGATATTGCATAACATACTTAGGCAAAGGCTGCAGTCTTCAAGTGTTGGTTTGCATTCACTCACTGGTGTCCTAAACTACGATGAAATAGCTGCCCAGTACTTCTTGCTTATTTTCAGTGGTTCGCTGACTGATGAGTCAGTTCGTGACCAATCTTGAAATCAATCAGATATCTCTGAAAACCAACACTTGAAGTTTAAGCAACTGGCTAATCACTCAGAAATCAACAAACTAGTTAACGTTAATAGGTCTAAAGGTTAGTTTGACAGCTAAACTTGTCTCTCCATATCAATACATTACTGTAAAATTGATATTATTGAGCATACTTTTATTGAGATATTCATTTGGTTGTTATAAATTCAAACTGTATATGAATTATTCGTGCTGTTTGTTATTTGATTTTTGATTTACAGCTTGATTCCACACTGTAGTTTTGGTACGAGTATGGAATTTTCAGCATGGATATCGGTAGCCCAGATTTTGCAGGCCAACCATAGATATGAAGTGATCGACAAGATGATCAAGACATAATCTCTGTGCTTGTTATTGGTCATCTGGAAGTAAGGTACTAGATGGTTGGAGGCAGTCGAAGGAAGCCTTCCACCAAGGTTGTGTGCTAGTCGGCACTCGCTAGTCAGGAAGGTATATCTGCAACCCTGAAGAAACTCATGTCCCTTCAGAGATACGAACCTGCCTCACACAGTGCTTCAGTCTGAGACACTACCACTAACCTATTGGGGCTCTGACTGCAGCACTGGGTAACACGGGTTCGAATCTCAGAAGGGACATAAGTTCCTTCAAGGTTGCAGATACACCTTGCTTACTAACGAGTGCCAACTAGCACGAAACATAGGTCCAAGGACTCCTGTCGATTGCCTCCAACCATCTAATATCAACAATTCAAAGTGCACCCTGATGGCGAGGCACCTAGAATGCAGGCCACATTGCAAACTTGACTGAGAGAATTGAGTCTTAACCGAAGATAGGACTAGACACACACTACACTAGCCACTGACTAGTGTCCAGTCAAAGAAAGTAAGCTACACCCAACGGAACTCTTCACTAGTCAGAGGACTTATTTTACTCTATACGGATCATGAATCTTTATGGATCACGATATGTGTTGATAGTTATTGATGGAGGAATTGTATATAGATTTTATGGGCACTGAATATTTGTTTGTAAAAAACTGTTATTCACTTATAAAATAGCCTAGACAATATGAAACAGAATTTGAATAAACATTATTTCATCTTTGTTATTTTGACTGATGGCGACTTGCAGTGGAATCCAAGATGCGTATTTCCGCCTATTTAGGACTCGTCAGCCAGATGTACCTGTATTCTCAGTGGATGTTGATGGAGCTCCCACTGGAAGAGATAATAGCCTATGGGCGATCCTGGAACCACCTAAAGATGATTGCAGAGAATAGAATGGAATGAAGATGCACTGTTGAAGCCGTATCTTCTACTCGAAACCCAACGGAACAATAAAAATAATTAGAAGTTAATTGGTGTATGGTGACTAACAGTGGAGTCCAGGATGCACATTTCGTCTCATTTCGGACGCATCGTCTGGACGTACCTGCATTTCCCACTGAGTGATATCGTTTCCACCGAGGCTCGAACCCAGTGGCCGTAGTTTCAAACGCCAAAGCGTTATCCTCTATACCACTTTGGCCACGGCAGCCACCTCCTGTGCAACGAGTCATATTAATTGTTTAATTCAATTTAGATTTTCTCGTCGATTGGTAGTCACCATCTACCAATTAACTCCTAATTACATGCCCAGACATCGTCGAATCATCTGTCTAAGAAGCCGACATACCAACGTGAGACCGAGCACTTCGGTCCAATCAATCGATGGGGAAATCTAAAATTGAATTAAATAATAATAATAATATCATATAAATTAAACTTTTTTCTTCTTTTACCTGAAACACATGCTGTCAAATTCCATGGACAATCGATCAAGTCATCTCCATCTCCAACTGTAGTTGACTCTTTATATTCCTCAAATGATGTTGGAGTTAAAAATAGTCCGCTGACTGTTTCACTTGGAAACTGAACACTTGTTGGTAAGCCAACAGCATCAACATTTAAATACGGTGAACCAATCACTGACTTAACTTTAAGACTATGATATAAATCATCTGAGTCGA